CTGAGCATCCCTGGCGATCCCGGCGGTGCCTGCAGCTCCGTGCCCGGAGCCCACACGATGGCACTCGGTCCTAAGGAGCTCCCGGTGCCTCCTCCTGCCGCTGTACCTGCCATGGCACACCTGGCGTTGTGGTTTTCCTCCTAGAGACTCTCTCCTGCCGACTCGTCTATGAGTTTAGCTGCTGAGTCAGAATGCAAAGCGCCTTTTCATAAGCAGTACCTGGTTTTAAGTGAGGACCCTGAACTGTGGAGCAGTCCCAGTGCTATCACCAACAGCTAAAGTGTGTTATCTTTTCACACTGCACGAGACCTTGCTTCACCTTCCAGACCCTTAGCTGAGTTTCTGCTAGGTTAAATAGCACTGCACCGGCTGAAATTGTCTCTTCATTTAAATACACTTTCCTGTAATGAAGTTTTCTTTCCTTCTTTCCCATGAATGAAAAAGAACCTCTCCAATCTCTACAGTATACCAAGACATCATTAGACATCCCACCTCCTGGTCTTTCCCAGGAACCACTGAGTGTGTGGACACGGGGACCAAAATGTCCCTCCCCATGCAACCTTCAGTACTGTTAGAGGTGTATAAATAAAAGCCATGGCCAGCCCAGATCCAGTTTGGGGTGCAGAAGGGAGGCAGCTGCAGAGGGCAGTCCTAGTTCTGCTGTCAGGACATGCTGTTCTGTCCCTGCTGGCTACAGAAGAGGCTCTTATGACTGTTACTTGCTGTGGTTGTATCATCACTCTCAATATCTTCACCCCAGGGTCATTCTATGCCTTGGTTACTCATCCTCACTACATGGGTCTATATTTGCCCCATCCTCCTTTGACTGCTAAAGCTGCACTCCAGTCTAGGGACAGTAGTGTGGACAATCCACACCAGTAGTAGCAGGGATAAACCAAGGACAGGTTTGCCATCCTTTGCTCTGTGCTGTTCCTGAATGCTCTTTAGGAAGTCTCACTTGCAAGCATCCGACACGACACTGCAGTTTGCTCCAGCTGGGCACTGCATGTCACACAGTGTTGTGCTGTGGAAACCTCACTCTGGTCAGCTGTGACATCACCTTCAATTTATTTCATGCACTTTGAAATGAAAAAAACCCACCCACAGTCCATGGCCAAGGGCACCAGGTGAAGCCCAAGAAAAGATGGTCCAAGGACAGTGCTGGTCAGCCAAGGCACCTGAGAAGATTCCTACCCTGTGAAGGGTGAGTGACAAACCTGCCATACCCTGCCTGGCAGAGGCAGAGGGCTGACAGGGGCTGCTGCCTTCTACACCGTGCACAGAGGTCCTGGCCAGAGCCAGGCTGTGAATTGCACACGCTGGAGGCAATAATGCTCTTATCTCGAGGTGATAACATCACCAGTGTTAAGGAACCTCCCCTGTATGACCATCCAGGAGACACACTGACAGTCACACTAGCAGCACCTGAGCTGGGACGGAAGCCACTTGGCAGTGATGCACACCACACTCACCAGTCAGACCAGGTTTCCTCCCTGACTCTGCCCCAGGTTTGCCATAGCAGAGTCTCAGACATCCACAGCCTTAAAATAATTCAATCATGGTGCAATACCAAAATAGCAGCTCGAGCTGATGCCTCCAAGGGGGGACCCTGAACAAAGGAACCTCTGGGATTTTATACCCTTTTACACCCTAAGGGCTTGAAATCTGCGGGGCATTTGCTCCTGCTGTGTCTCTCAGTGTCTGGTGACCTGGCTGAGACACAGGTCCCTGGGCCCTTTGGTATGGAAAGGGTCAGCCCCACTTCACAGTCTCTTGCTTGGGGCTCCCCCAGAGCCCAACCTGCAGCTGTACTGCAGCTGCCCCTGAGCCACTGCACTGAATGGATTCCTCAACACCCAGATCCTGCCTGGTGCTCCTCATGCTCCAAAGGGTGGGCTCTGGTGTTTCAGGACATGTGTCTGTGCATTTGTGTTCTGTAAAAAATTGGTTCCTTTCCTTTAGTGATCACACAAGAGGCAAACATCATTTATTTTTAAAATTCATTCAGTAACTCATTATCTGTTGAGGCATTGTTTGGTTTCATTAGGACTTTCTCCCAGTGTTGGGGTGTCCTGTTTACTGATATGTTGAAGATTAATAATTCATTTGAACTCTAGGCTAGTTCATTTGACTGAAAACACCATGTTTCCCGCAGTGATTGATTGACAGCTGTTGGAAGCAATAGACTACTAACAGGTTTGTTCATGTGCAGGTGGTTGGGTGAGGAGCACTTCACTTAGTGGACATTGCTGGAATTGTTTTAACACAGAACGAAGGCTGTTACTGACAACGTATGGGAATGGCTCAGTATCATTGTCTCAGAAATCAAGATTGGACTTGGCTTTAGTTTTTAAGTAATATAGTCACTGTCTTTACTATTGCTAATCAGTCTGTCTGGTGGTTTTGGTTTAGATTGTCTCCTGCGTGGGATGTGCCATCAGTCCAGTGTTCAGGTAAGTGATTTCTTAAACTCTGATCTATTACTGTGTCAGATAGTTAAAGAGATGGTAAAGGTATGGAAAAAAAAATAAAACCAGAGCAGATAAAAGACATTTCTCTCGGAGAAACTAGGTTAACTTCAGCATCCCTGTTCACTAAAGGGAAATTGGGGATGTTTACAAGTAGAACCTTTATTTCTGGCCAAAGGGAACAACAACAAAACTTCATTATCAGACAGTGCTCAGCTGGAGAGTTCAATGTAGCTCAAGATCAAAAGTGCAGTGGTATCAGCAGGGAGTCAGCCTCTACTTCAACTCCCTTTGCACTTGCCAACTGCGAGAGACCACTATGGTGTCACTTCCCAAAGGGATCTGAGCAACTGTGGAGCCATAGCCCAGTGTCTGTACTTATAGCCAGTTGCAGAAATTACACAGTAGTGTACACATAGTAAATGTGGTGTTTTGGGAACAGTCAAAGTTCAAACTTATGTAAAGGCAAGTTATGCCTCACCAATCTGTTGAAGTAATTAAGAAAAGCTGATGAGTATATGGAGTGAAGTCCAACTGATATAATTAGTCAGGCTCTTCAGAGACTTTGAGTGATCTGGAAAGTACATAAATAGTGTGGTGATGACACCTGATGATAAAACAAAGCTCTTCAGGGTAATAAAGACAAGGACTGACTGTTCAGAGTTGCAAAGAACCTTAAAAATGGGAGAAGGAATGCAATACAGATATATGCAAAAAGTGAGCAAACAGGGGAAAACAGCTAGTATTACCACTCATGGCATTTGGAATTATATTAACTGGGCCTGTTCTATTGAAATGCTGAATCAGTGCTATGCAGAGATTAAGAAAGCAAACTAAATCTCAGGAATCATTAGGAAAGGAACTGAGAACAGAACACGTCATTATGCTGCAGTATAAACCTGTGGTGTATCCACATGTTTGACACCTGTGTGTGGGTCTGATCTCTCTGTCTCCAAAACAACATATCAGCATTGGGAAAGCATCAGAAAAAGGCAACAGGATTGAGCTGAATGTATGGGCCAGTGTCAGAAACAGATGACTGCATTTGATAGACTTTGGTCACTATAAATATTTTTATGTTCAAAAATTCTTATAAATTGAACTTTTACTCAGTGTCACAAAAATGGTCACTAGGAAGGGATTTCCCCCCTCCCAGGGAAAAAAAAAATCAAGCCTAGTGTGTCACTATTAGTGTTTAGTCAAAGAGTAGTCTAGTGTGAAATACAAGACTCTTTTAGGTCCCTCCATTGGAAAAGTACACCTCAAGAGAAAAAGCATCTCTAAAAGTGACTCACAGAAGGTGATTGTTTATAAAAAAATCAAACATCTCAAACTGAAGTGTTGTTTCTTATGTTAGACTTTAGGAGCTTAAGAGAGACTGTTTGAGATCAAAGTGCTAATGTTTAACTCAGGATATCTGCTGCTCTCGCTCCACAGATCCCCAGCCAAGTGACTCTCTGTTCTGTGTCACATGGAATGAGTCTGTCCCAGGGATGACTGAGAGAGGTGCTTCTCCTCGATGGCTGGGAAGAGGCTGCCCTGGTGATTATCTCCTTGGAGAAGTTCAGTGTCTCTCCTTATAGCCCTCACAGCACGTTTCAAAGCCGTTCATGACCTACGTTCAGGATCTCTTTCAAGAAGGGCTGGGCTGGCATAATGTAGGTGACATTCTGGTGCTCATGGGTGGAGTGAATGAAAGGCCTGAGAGAAATCTGTCTTAGGATGTTTCCTTCAGGTTTGTGAAGACTTCAGGTTACACTAAGTGAATCCAAGCAGAAGCATGGAAACCCTGTAGATTGTATACTGTGCTATAATATGTGCCAGTGCTTTGAGTTCTGGTACCCAGTATCTGACTTCAGCTTCTGAAAAGTAAATGTTGAAGAGAAAACCTGAAGGGTCTGGAGGAATAAATAAATAAATCTAGTAGAAATTATGTTTACAGAAGGAATCCAGACAGTATTGTTTCATGTCTTGGGTACTTCACTAATAAAGTGTCCTGTATAAATGCCAAGAACATGACTTTCTGCTATTAGAGAGAAAGGGAAAATACTCTTGAGGTAGTTTTGTCCCAAGCAAAGGGGCATCAACCACATGCCCAGATGTTTCTTTTTGGTTTCTCCTTCTTCAGTATGGATTTATGCAACTTTGCAGAAGGTTAGTCCAGAAAGGAGGTATGAAGAAAAAGTAATAATGATTTACTCATCTTCAAATGAAAATGAAACCCGCCTAAATTCCCATCGCTTCTAGTACCACTTGCATTGTCATACACCAGACCTATAGCTGGGTAATTATGTTAACATTTTGCTTTAACAATGATGTCATTGATGTGATGCCATGGAAAATCTTGCTTAGTCGAGTGCTTCATCTACTGTATCAGCTGAAGTTTTCAACAAGTCACTATTTCTTCAGCATTGGACTGAAGTATGAAAAGTGCTATTGCATCAAGAAAAGTGAGCATCTTCCTTCATCATCTCAGGCAGATTACACTGGAAGGTGAAATCAGAGCAGAGGATGGCTCAGTACAACCATTCAGCAGAGTTCTCTTTCCAGAGCTCAACAAATAAGTCATTAAATTTCACTGAAACACCACTGGTTTGGGATGAAAGAACACTCTTAGGGCTGAAGATTTCCCTGTCAATCCTCCTGTCTGTTATAACTCTGGCAACCATCCTTGCAAACATTTTTGTCGTTATTACAATTTTCCTGACTAGAAAGCTACACACACCTGCCAATTACCTCATTGGCTCCTTGGCAGTGACTGACCTGTTGGTGTCTGTCCTCGTGATGCCCATCAGCATCGCCTACACTGTCACACACACGTGGGCCTTTGGCCAAGTGCTGTGTGACATCTGGTTGTCCTCAGACATCACGTGCTGCACAGCCTCCATCCTGCACCTCTGTGTGATTGCCCTGGACAGGTACTGGGCTATCACCGACGCCCTGGAGTACGCCAAGCGCCGCACGACTGGCCGAGCAGCCCTCATGATCGCTGTGGTCTGGATGATCTCCATCAGTATTTCTGTGCCACCGTTTTTCTGGAGGCAAGTGAAAGCTCATGAAGAAATTGCAAAGTGTGCTGTGAACACAGATCAAATTTCCTACACGATTTATTCCACTTGTGGAGCTTTCTACATCCCAACTGTGCTCCTGTTGATACTGTACGGTAGGATTTATGCAGCAGCTCGGTCCAGGATTCTGAAGCCACCCTCGTTGTATGGGAAACGTTTCACTACCGCACACCTCATCGCCGGCTCTGCAGGCTCTTCCCTCTGCTCCATCAATGCCAGCCTCCACGAAGGGCATTCCCATTCAACTGCATCCCCAATCTTTATCAATCACGTCAAAATAAAACTTGCAGATAGTGTGCTGGAAAGGAAAAGGATTTCTGCTGCAAGAGAAAGGAAAGCCACCAAAACTTTAGGCATTATTCTGGGAGCTTTCATTTTCTGCTGGCTGCCGTTTTTTGTCATGTCCCTAGTCCTGCCGATCTGCCAAGATGCTTGTTGGTTTCATCCCATCCTACTGGACTTTTTTACCTGGTTGGGCTACTTAAACTCGTTGATCAACCCAGTAATTTATACAGCTTTTAATGAGGAATTTAAACAGGCTTTCCAAAAATTAATACTTTTCAAGAAGGGTTCACCTTGAGACTCTCCTCTTGTGTTAGACCCCTGTGCAATCTCACAACCTGAAACTTTCCATGGTTTGATTCCTAAGGAGCAGAGTGGTAACTGCCACCTCTGCTGCTACCCAGTTCTGTGCATGTAACTGGGAACCTCTCTCTGTCTGGAATTCTACATCCTGTAGCAGAACTCATCCATGATCTCTGCAGTGATCATGCGTGTATATAAGATCAGCAACGCATGAATGTAGCTCTGTAAGGAGGGAAGGAGTGCAGAGCAGGGAGCTTTGAGGTGCTGAGGTGACACATTACCCGATTCAGCCATGCTTTGTAACCTGACAGGAGGAAATTGTATGTGTACTTGCAGGATGTCAGTATTTCTGCTGTATATTATTAACCATTTATGTAGGCTGAGAAGGTTTCTGGAGAGCAGGATCTGATAGCTGCATTTCCTATGGCATGTATCCTACCCATGTGAAGCTGATAAAACCTGTAACTGGTTCAGAATTGTGTGACACAGTCTGGCCATAAGCAGGAGCAGGGCAGAGAGGCATAGCACAGATGTAAAGTGCTGTGGATACTTCACAAATGCTACGCTTTGGGTGAATGGTAGAAAGAAGCCAACTGATTGGAAATAATTTTTACATATTTTATCATGAATAGAATAAGCAGTGCAGAAATACTACAAAATAAACAGCATGAAAAATATTGAAAAGTGCCTCAATCTTACATTTCTGGTTTCATCTTTTTTTTTCTTTTTTTTGCATGCACAAACCGAAACAGGAGAATATGACTAGTGCCAGTGTGGAATGACTGAGACCTCACAACAAAAGCCAGGAGGTTCAGTTCTTGATGACAAGAAGTGAAGAGTTAGAGAGGAGAGAATGAAGTGAGACACCAAGAAAAACTTTCTTAGTAATTAAGGTTGTTGGGGTGGACGTGACATCACTGTCTCTTGGAAGTCTGTAAGTACTGGTCAAACAAGCATCTGTCAGGGCTCTCTGCTGGGGCTGTGGAGCCTGGGGCAGGTTCCCTCTGACCTGCACTTCTCTGTCTCTGGCATTACTTCTCTGATTTGGCAAGTGGGAAGGTGGCACATGGGGGGCTTGGGTGAAGTCTTGGACAGGCCAGCACACCAAGTGGTGCAGCCCAAACATCATTCAACTTTTTAGTCCCTGGGCATTTTACAGCAGAAATGTCATGTCCATACTGCACATAAGAGGCACACACTGCCTTGAAAGAGTTATCTATTATCCTTCTGACTGCCCTTCCACCTCTCGGCCTGCCCCAGTTCATCCCCACCATACTCTGCCATAGCCATCCCCACATGCTCCACCACAGCCCAGGTCCAGCACAGCTTTCAGCCTCTCCTCTTACATTTCCAGCACAGCCTTCCAGCTTCTCCCTATTGCTGGTGCCTCTGCTGAGGACTGGACCAGAAAGGGATGCCCCAGGAACAACCACATGCTGCAGAGACAGGCAGAGCAGCTCTGCGGTCACAGAACTGCGGTCCCCTCTCCCACAGGACACCCCGAGGGCACTCCAGGCTGCCTTGTCTGGGACATGGATCCTCTTCCCTCTCAAGAGTGCACTTGTCTAGCTCTGTCCAGCTCGAGATTCTGATGGTGCTACTCCATGGCTGTGTCCACAGACTCTGCTTCCAGTCTGTCCAGAGTGCCTGCTGGCAGTGCTGGTGCTCAGCTGTGCTCACTCCTGAGCTGTGCTGGTGCATTGCCTGGGCACATGTGAGCTGACACAGCCTCATGGGGGAAGGCCTGAACCGTTAACAGCTGAGCTCTCACTCCTAAGGCAGGTCCCTGGCACTGTCCAATTTGCTGTGTCCAGCTTGGGGCTCCAGGCTCCTTTCTGGGCTGCCATCCCTGTGTCCAGGCCACTCACAGCTGCTGCTGCTGTGGGACAGACAGTATGGCAATATCAGTTAGGTCTTGCTCTGGAGGTAGCTGAGGTATGGAGGCATCACAAAAGGTTGGTACAACCACCTCTGCTAGAAAAATGGGATACACAGCCTCATTAGGCCTGCAGCAGGGAACCTATGTGATTACATTAATTCAGAGATATGTGATTACATGAATTCAGAGATACAGCTCCAGGATCCTGCATGGTCTTGTCACTCAAAGAACCATTTGTGGAAACTGGAAAAAGCTCTCCTAGTTTAACATAGGACATTGCATATTCCAGAACACTGGCACCTTCTAAATGCAACAAACAGCCAGTTCCTCCCCGGAGGACACAGTCTGTGTTATTTTAGAATAATCTTTCCCATCATGGGTGTGAGTGATAAGGGTTTCCCAGCAGTGTCCCACATCAGGCTTCTGGTCAGCCACTGAGCCATGGTTTAAAGAATCAGTGTTTAAGGTTAGGCCTTATGCCCCTGGGTCCACATCGCTGGAACACTTTGCGTCCTCTAGCAGCTGGAGGAGCCTTTGTGTTTGACATTGACACAGCAAGACACGACTGTTTTTAACGACACAGCAGTGCTGCCAGCAAAGGCTGAGCTGCAGCACAGAGAGCACACTGGAAGGTTCCCTGCAGCCATACAGCATTAGTACTAGTATGAGTGTGCCTGTGATATGACATGCCCTCGCTCCCTCAGGAATCCTTTCCTGTCCCCCAACAATTACAGCTGGGACACAGTCACAGTCTGAAGACTGTGCATTTCCAGAAGCCATGGGATGTCTGCAGACTTTTTTATTTTGGCACTAAAGGCATAGGTTTGGGTATCTCTGAAGTTTTCACTCCTTTCCCCCAGATGCTTTTTTGATGCTGTCTGCCCTGCCTGAACCCTGTGCTTTCTGGACCCCTTTGTCTAAGTGCTCTTCTGGCCAGGGTACAGGGATAGTGTCATACAGCTTCAACTGCACAAACATATCTGTTTCACACCTTGAAACAAAAAAAAAGACCCAACTAGGGTCGCAAAATACAGCATAGGAAGATGATCCACTACTGTTCTCTGGGCTTTTAGTGCACTAATTTAAGTGTAAGCAAACTAGGCCCTTTCTTTGATTAGATTATAGGCTAATTTAAACAGGCACATGGTCTAATATTACACCATTCTTAATGTTGGTAAATATTTGATATAGTGCTTCAGGAACTCTTATTGGAAAAAAAAGTGATGTGAAACTGGCAGAGGAAAACACTTGCTAAGGATGATAAATGCCTCTGAGTGGCAGGAAGGCTCTCCTATCACAGAGATCAATGTCCATATTTACCATGTTTTACAATGCTCAGTGAATTGCAGTCCAGAGCACACAAGTGCACTTCACAGGATGTACACAAGGGCTATGTCATCTCTCAGTGCCTCTCCAATGAAGCTCTTGCAATATTTAGCACACAGGTAAGTTAAAACACATTTTGCTTGTACAGAAGTGCATGTGGAGATGTCCCAGCAGTTAGTTATTTCAATGAAAATGTGGAGTTTATTGAAAACAAAAGAAATAGGTAAATGTAAGCCAACGCATGTGTATTCCCTGCATCACCTGCAATTAAACTCCAGTGCAGGTTTTTCCTACAACTGGGGAAGTGGATGAGTGTCAGCAGTGAGGAGTCACCATGACTGCAGACTGGCAGGACAATGACAGTGGAACCTGATCACTCCTCAGGACAAGGCTGAACCTTGCAAAGTGTGAGGATTGAGGTAATCCTGCCATGCTTACCAACCTGAAAAGAGTTCCCTGTGAGGGGGTAAAGGGGAACAAATGCTGTACATGCAAGACTACTGATGTACATGAAGGTCTATTGACGAACAGATCACATCTTCACAAACCAACCTGGCAAACATATCCTATTGGAAATGAGTGTTTTGTAAATGTAACCAGTCTATGACATGATGGCAATGTGTTTGCACAGAATACTCTGTAACACAGTGCCAGAATGTTTTCACTGACAATTGCACAGAACACTCTGTAACAGTGCCAGAATGTTTTCACTGACAATTACCATGTTTCCCACCCTGATATGCTAATACAAAATTTATTTTGACACCTTGAAGATGTGATGGCTATTCTGTAGTAGTTAATGATGGATAGACAATTTCTGCCGGTTCAAACTTTGGACTACCAGTATTGCATGGAAAGTACTTCTCAGCATCCTGTTCTTCCACTCTGTAACAGTGCCAGAATGTTTTCACTGACAATTACCATGTTTCCCACCCTGATATGCTAATACAAAATTTATTTTGACACCTTGAAGATGTGATGGCTATTCTGTAGTAGTTAATGATGGATAGACAATTTCTGCCGGTTCAAACTTTGGACTACCAGTATTGCATGGAAAGTACTTCTCAGCATCCTGTTCTTCTTTGTGAGTTTACTACTCCCTCTGCAGTAAACCTTGCAAGTCCTTGAAGGAATGCCAGGAGGGACAGCTGTAGATATGGTTCCCATGCAATTTATATTGTGACAATCTGGCTACAGGTGCTCAGTAGCTCTTGTCACTCAGAGGTGAGGAATTCCCAACAGCTTTGGCAAAGTCATTCAACATTTCTGAATTATTTTTCAATAGAGCCAAGATGGTTCTTTTGAAAACTCCAACAACCAGACACATATTCCATACACTCGTTGTCAATAACAGATTTTGCACTTAGATTTCGTCACTGGTGAAACAGAAAATGTGAACTTAAGAGTCCTTTTGGTGAGATTTCCTCTAAGCTACCTTCACAAACACACTACCTCCAGCTTCTGGTAGCAACAGTCACATCTTCACAGCAGCTGTGTTTGCAGCACCTGTTAGTGAGGGGAAAGCCCTTTTCCCACCCTGCCAAGGTACATCTGAGTGCCAGCCCTGACCTACAGCATAGCAATTGCTCTCCCTAGTTGTCAGTTGGGTTTACAGTTGTCAGTGAACTTGCTGGACAGCTCACTGTCCAGGTCCCATAAAGACACTAATCACTATCAACCTACCAGTGTGCATCCCTGAAGGAGGCCCCTAGAAACTGGTTTCCAGCTAGACTGCACATTGTTGACATACACCCTTCAGCCTAACCATCCAGCCAGTCCTTCATTCCCTT